ATATATATATATATATATATATATATATATATATATATATATGTATATATATATGGTTTCGAATACATTTGATGTAGTTGAATGCAGCGCACGATTTGCACATTTAAATACTATATAAAAAATACAAATTGTTGTGGATTTTGTTACTGCTGTGCATGTGTATGAATGTGTATGTGTGTGTGTGTGTGTGTGTGTGTGTGTAATACTTAAATAGTTAGGGATAGTGCATTGGGCGGGACCGGGAGGCATTTGTCGTCGTAATCATATAACGTTCAAGTTAACATTATCGTTATCGTTAAAGTTATCGTTAATGTCACTGTCAGCGCTATCGTTAATGTGTTATCGTCGTTGATATTAGCTGCATAATTGTTACACTCAATGTTAACATCACAGAAACTGACAACATTCATAACGTTATCGTCATCGTTATCGTTATCGTTATCGATAGTATTAACAAAGACTGCAGTCATCAGTGATATTATCGATTCGCGCTATGCAGCCGCTACGATTCCATGTACTCGCATTGAAAATGTTTTGCTTGCGATCACCTGATATCGTTATCGATATCACGCTCGAAAATTGGTCATTTGTTATTGGTTATTGTATTGTCAATCAATCGACATCGAATAGCATAATAGGAATGTCTATGCCACTGTGGGCGTCTGTATGTCATTGTCAGCGCTATTGTTATCGATATTTTATATTTCATATTTTAATATTTTATAAATTTTTTTTTTACTTAATTTGGTTTTTATGTTGTTCAATGGGTTATTAACTAACGTTTGAAAGTTCACTGTTATCGTTATCGTTATCGCCCCAGCTCAACAGTGCCCGTCTGATTTATCGACTATCGATGACCGGCATCTAGCGCGTAAAGGCACTGAGAAAATGTGGCCCACCCATATCGAACTGCTGCTGCTCAAACACATCGTCGACCATGCCCCCCACTCCCGGCACATTCACCCCATTGGGCAGACCAAAGTTCGCCCCATTCGCCGCCAGTGTGGCCGCCGCTGCCGCCACAGTGGCCGCCTTCAGTTGACTAATCGCCAGCATTGGCGGCTTATCGCCGGGCTTCCAGCGACGATGGATGCCCATCGACTTGAGCTTCTGACAGACGGACGACGGCGATATATTGATGCCCTTCTCGGCGAGCCGGGCGGACACCTTCCAGTATTGTATATTGCTGTCCTCCTTGATCAGTTCGAGTATCTCACGTGTGATCTCCTTGTCGCGCAGCTCCCGCTCGGCGGCCTTCAAGCGGCGACGCGTGTGCAACATTTTGCCGCCATTCATGGAAGCCGATTGCTGTTGTTGCTGCTGCTGCTGTTGTTGTTGTTGTTGTTGGTAATGTGATGTTTCCGCTGGTGTGTGGTGATGCAGCTGTTGTTGCTGCTGCTGTTGCAGCAACAATTCCTGCTGCTGCTGGCGTTGCTGTTGTTTTTGCTGCTGCTGCTGCTGCTTGTTGATCAGCTCCATTTGCTGCTGCTGCAATTCCTGCAATTGTTGCTGGCGCTGCAGCTCCTGCTGGTGGCGTTGCTGTTGCTCCTGTTGTTGCTGCTGCTGCTGCTGCTGCTGCTGCTGCTGTTGCTGCTGCTGTTGCTCCTTGGCAGCCAGTGCGGCCGCCTCGTCACGCCCCTCGCTGCGCTTGTTGCGATACGAGAGCGGCACCCCCTTCAATATGGCATCGCGCACCTTCCAGGCCGTCATCTGGGAGACGTTCAGGGCACGCGCTATCTCCATGGTGGATGCATTCTGGGCCACCAGCAGCTTGGCCATTGCATACTTCTCGTCGTCGATGAAGACGTTCGGCTTGCGCGGCTTCTTGCCAGGCTGATGAACCACCTGTTGCTGTTGCTGTTGCTGGTGGTGCTGTTGCTGGTGCTGCTGTTGCTGGTGGTGCTGCTGCTGCTGCTGATGATGATGCGAATGCGGAACAGGTGGCGCTATATTGCTGCCAGAGCTGCCATTACTAATAGAAAGAGAGAGAGAGAGAGAGAGAGAGAGAGAGGGAGAGCATTAGATAGAGTCAGCATGCTATTAAGGTCTCGCACTCACCTCTCGTTGCTGTTGATGGAGCGTAGGGACAGGTTGACGGGCAAAGCGTGACTGCAATAGAGTTACTTGATTAGTTATACATTTCATGGAAAGAGATGGACAGAGACAGTGTATAGAGATGGAGAGAGGCCAAGGGAGAGAGATAGAGCGTGTGTGAGTGAGTGAGATGGCCTACAAGTCAATAAACTCAAGTAATCTTGGCTTCGCCTTAGCAAGAGAACAAGTTTTCTGACTCCTAATCGAGGGGGACAGAAACTAAACTCTAAAATCTAGTAAAAATGGAAGAGCCTAAAGAAAAGTTGAAAAACCTTTTCTGCTAAGGCTTTGCAAACAGAGTTTCAAGTGAATTGACGATCATAGAAGGCAGACTAATTTAAGTGAAAGATAATTGAGGAAAGTCCATAGTTGTTAAGTCAGTTAAGAATAATATAAATTAGATAGGTTTAAGAACTAAGAACTCAAGCTCATAATATAATAATAAAAATCAATTATAAATTATTCGCTTATGCGACTTAACTAAGTTTTTAGCAAAGTTTCTTAGACAAGTTGACCAGGAGGACAATGAGAAATTGACATAACAGATAGATAGAGTATTAATATGGAATACCTATATACCCTCCTATATCTATAGAGCAGATATCTTATACGACACTCTTATACACTCTAGGATAGACATTCTTATACATGTGACACTCTTACACATTCTAGGATAGACATTCTTATACATGTGACACTCTTATACACTCTAGGATAGACATTCTTATACATTCTGATAACACTCTTATACACTCTCTATGAGAATGACGAATGAGTCGTAAATTCATTGAGCTCTCTACTCTAAAGTGAACATGAAGGATTTGCATTAGATATGCAAAGATATACTAGATATAGAAATACTAGAAATATAATAGCTTAAGATCCAAGCGGGTATTACATGATTTTATAAGCTTGCGTCTGCCAAGCTCAACTATATTAGGTCGTGCTCTAGCTGAGCTAATGAAATGATGAACTTGATGACTAATGAGCTTAACACTAACTAAACTTAAAAGGAAGAAGCAATAGTAAATAAATCATATATACAATGAGATCTATTAAAAACTAATACAAAAAAAAACTTCCAGATTTTATATAAAAGAGTTGGTAAAGGAAAGCTAGCTTTGCCTTAAATCAACTCAAGCTTAGCTAAACCTGGAGTACGCTTAGGTCTATTCCCTCATCTAAACAAAGTCAAATCTAAGATTCCTTATGCATAAGGAGCTAAAGGTTACTCCAAGCAGTTGCTTCCCTCAGCGCATCAGTTACAATTCCCACTATATCAAATATATATAGGCATGGATATCAATCGTAGTACTCGACTCACTTGGGCGCGACGACAGTGGGCGGATAGCGCGTCAACATGGGCATCGTTCCATTGTGTGCGACCTTCTGCTGCTTTTGCTGCTGCTGTTGCTGCTGCTGTTGTTGCTGCTGCTGTTGTTGTTGCTGCTGCTGCTGCTGCTGCTGCTGCTGCAGCTGCAATTGCTGTGCGTTTACAATATGCGGAAAGCGATGCGAACCCGCCAATAGGCGCTGATAGGCCTCAACGTCGGCGCGTGCCGGCAGCATGCCGCTTGGGGAAACCGAAACGCCACGCTTGCCAAGCTGCTCGTGGTCCATGTCGCCAGCCTCGTCCATTGGGCTGTGCTCCTCCAGCTGGCCGCGCATGTCGTAGCCATTGTGCTGGAGCAGTCCGCAGACATCGTCCTCGCCATCGGCATAGCCGGCCGTTTCCTCGGCGCCAATGTCGCCAAGGCCATCATCGTCGCCATCGTCGACAAGGCCATCGCCATCGTCGCCATTGCCATGGGCAGCCAGCTCATCGTCCATGTGGAGTGCAGAGTGGTGGTGCTGCTGCTGCTGCTGCTGCTCATCATCGCTGTCCAGTTGCTCCTCCTTGATGAGGCCCAGGCCAAGGTGGCTGTAGGGCAAGGCCAGCTGCTGACGCTCGTGCTCCAGCTGCTGTTGCTGTTGCTCTAAATGCTGCTGTTGTTGCAATTGCTGCTGCAGCTGCAACTGTTGGTGCTGCTGCTGTTGTTGTTGCTGCTGCTGCTGCTGCTGCTGCTGTTGCTGCTGCTCCTCGCTGGCCGGGTCCACGACCCGCTCATGCAGACTGACGCCATTCACCAGACTCTTGCGCAGACGCCAGGCGAAGGTGCGCGAAATGTTGAGCTCATTGGCGATCACCGTGGTGGTGGCCTCGCGCAGGATCAACTGCTTGGCCAGGGCGATCTTCTTGGCGTCCAGCTTGATGCGAGTGCGTCCCTTGCGCTTGTTGGTCATGCCCAGCCTGAGCAGCAGGAGAACGAGCTCAATGTCAATAGATACATACGTAGATGTCTCAACTCAAGCCACTTACTTGCGATTATTGAGATGCAGTGCAGCCGCATCTGGCGGCGGCGGCGGCTTGCGTGGCGCCACGCGCTTCGTAAAGTTATTGAACTGCACAATGTTCTGCTTGAACAGCTGCTGCAAGGGCCTGCGAAAAGAGATTCAAAGTAAGGATATATTGAATGGAACAACAGATGTCCAATGAGCACTCACATCTTGGCCGCCTTGGAGGGACAGCCGGTGCGCTTGTGCCAGCCCAGATGATGGCCGGTGGGAAAGAGCACATGGCAATCGGAGCACTCCATGGGCCGACTGTAATCAGAGATGAGACATTAGACATTATCGAACGAATCCTGGCAGGGATGTGCCATTCTTCACTTACGTCTGATTGCGTCGCTTCTTGACGCAACGGCCGCGACGTATGTGCTTCTCGAGGAAACGCTTGTAGAAATAGGTCTTGCGGCAGTTGGTGCACTCGTAGACGGGTCCCGGTGTGCCGTGCACGCTCTGCATGTGCGCCTTGAGTATCTGCTTCATCTCGAAGCTGTGGTAGCAGTGCGGACACTGGAAGCCTTGACCGCCGCCAGCGGCCGCGGCAGCGGCAGCAGCCGCCGCAACGGCCGCAGCAGCGGCTGCTGCATGAACACCGCCATCGCCAGAGGCGGCAGCGGCAGCAGCGGCGGCCGCAGCGGCAGCAGCAGAGGCGACACCTCCATTGAGCAGACCAGCTGCTGCATCGTTGTCGCTGCCCGTTAGCATTGTTGGATCTGGATCGGAGGGTGTGATTAGTTCGATTTCTGGTATCAATGGCAGCGACATCGCCTCATCATCCTCGTCATCCTCCTCCACGTCGCCATCGTCCGCGGCGGCCAGATGATGATGGCCATTGCCATTGGGGAACTTATTCATGCTACGCTGCATATACTCCTGCATCAGGCGTATCGAATTGAAGGGCAATTGCTCGGGCATTTCGTTGTCCTCGTGCGATGACAGCGGCAATGGCTCGTCCTGTTCATCCAGCTGCAGATGCTGATCCAGCTCTTCGCCATGCTCCTGCTCCTGCTGCAACTGCTGCTGTTGCTCGTGCTCCCGCTCCTGCTCCTGCTCCAGCTCCAGTTCGTGCGCCTCGGATAGCTGCTGCTCCATCTGATGACCATTGCTCTGGGCGTGCCCGTTCTGTGTGCTCGCATTGCCAGCAACATTCTCGGTGAGAGCACTCGCTCCGCCCTCCTCATCCTCTTCGTTGCCATTATCCTCCTCCTCCTCCTCCTCGTCATCATCGTCGGAGCTGCTGTTGCTGCTGCTGCTGCTGCTGCTACCGCTGCTGCTGCCGCTGTTGCTGCCGCTGCTGCTGTTGCTGTGGCTGTTGCTGTGGCTGTTGCTATGGCTGTGACTGTTGCTGTTGCTGTTACTCTTCGCCTGCCCGCCAGCAGCAGCAGCGCCGTCAGCGACAGTTGCCTCCACCTCGCCCCTCGGCTCGCCCGTATGCCCCTCGATCTTCTTGATCAGCAGCTGCTGACGATAGAAGTTGTCGGCATCCTCACACTTCTTCTTGAACAGGCACGCCGAGATCGCCGTCTTGGCACAGCTCACACACACCTGCTGCGGCAAGGTGTCATTCTTGGAGATCTGCAAATGGAACGAGAATACAATCAATATTTATGCACATTCAGCATTATCCATGAATCCAAAGGTAAGTAAACGCAATAGATCCCTAGGTTCCGTTGCCTAAGCTCAGGGAATTACTTCAACATCAGATTAGATTTCTATAGATTGTATAGCTTAATATTAGTTCAATAATGAACAACCTCCCAATTACACTCAAGTTAGACAGAGAAAAGGACCAGCCTAGCAAAAACTATTGGTAGAGCCAAACTATCATAAATGCTTGGTGGAAAGTCTGAAACTTTTGGGGCAGTAGCGCTGAGGAGAGGCGCCTTTAGAAAACAATGAACAATATTAATACTAAATACAAAATATTATGAAAAGATAAAAAATAATACCACAAAATACTATTATATATATACTATTATATATAATACTATAAAATACTAAATTTGAAAATTTCGAAAATTAATAATACCAATTATACTTAGAAACACCAATAAAAATAAATTTAATCAAAATACAATGATAAAATATAAATAATACTTTCAGATTTAAAAGAAAAATATATCAATATTACTATTAATGCTAAAAGAAAAACAATATAATAATAAAAATAATAAAATAAAAAATTTAAAAATAGAAATATAAGAAATACCAAAAATACTAATAGTACTTAAATATGAATGATGCTGAAATTCGAATAGTACTGAATATATAAATAAAATACTGGAATACTAAAAATGCTAATGTTGCTGGAAATAATATACTAAATCTTATACTTTGTAAAAATACTAAATTAATACCAAAAATACTAATAATATTTACTAATGAAATAAGAATAATTGTGGAATGCAAATAGTACTAGTATAAAATACTAAAAACTAAAAATACTAAAATACTAAAAAGCATTTCTAATTCTAAATAAATAAAAATAATAAAATAATGATTCTAAAAATTCTTCTAAAATACTAATGATGCTTTTAAAATGTTTAATAAAATTATTGACTATCATAATCCAAGAATGGAATAAGTTTTTCAACTCAAGATTGTCAAGATTGAAAGTTTTTACTAAAGAAAATACCCAAACATACATTTATACATATATCCTAAACAAAATATGTCATTATATGTGTACATATGTATAACCAAATACCAAATACATATACATACATACATATGTACATATGTATGTATATAAATTGTATATTGTACCTTCTTATGTAGATTTGGGTTCTTTTTATACATATTTATTTTTGGTATTTACGCATTTTATGATTTTACTTTACGAGCTTTTTCTTTTTTGTTTAATATAATTTTGGGTCGACGAACTAAATCACAATCAATTTGTAAAGCCAAAGGAACAATAGACCAAAAAAAAAAAAAAATAAAAATAAAAACATGAAAATAATAAAGAAGGAAAGAACAGAAAACGTCTCAACAGGTTTTGTCTGTGTGCGTGTGTGTGTGTGTGTGTGAATTTATTATTTAATGAACAAAATAGAAATAATAGAGGATAGCTAGATAGAGGTATGTATGTATGTATGTATATACATATGTATGTAGGTAGAGGCAGAGGTAGAAGTAGATAGGTACATATAATCATGTTCGTTAAACAGAAACCTTGATATGGAAAAACTGTTTTATTTACACAAGAATTAGCAGAGCTACAAAAATAAATACAAACACACACAAAGAATACTCAAGTATGCATACATACATACATACATACATATGTATGCATGTGTATGTGTATTCATTTAAAGTATAATAAATGCGATCTGCTTTGCCATCTTATATTTCATAATGAAAGAAATATAAATGCAAAGCAAATGAATAAAACTGAATAATTTATAATAAAAAACAAAGCGAAGAGAAAGAGAGAGAGAGAGAGAGAAAAAAGCAAGACTAAGCCGCTCTCAAATTGAACCAGCCAGAAAACCAGAAAATCATTTCACATTCAGGAAAAATTACAAGCAACAAATAAATTGTATGTAAGAAAAAAAAAAACAAAAACAAAAAAAAAAACATGAATGGAATGAAATGAAATAAAATCAAAGCAGCGCTCGCAGCGCAAAGCAAGCAAAGTTTATAACGACAACAACAACAACAAAGACGACGACAGCGACGACGTCGTCGGCGTTGAGGTGCGAAGCAGAGTGAGAGGAACAAGAGTTCCCGTCGTTGTCGCAGCTCACAGTTCCGTCAGCTGCGTCCCGCCCCCTTTTTGGGTGGCAAAGGGGCCAACGAACGTCTAAGCCGACTCTACTACAAACTAAGTGAATGAGTGAGTGCCGCATGCCGAGAGCGCGGCGCGAGCGAGATGGCAATGGGCCAAAGCCGAACAGCGGAGAGCGCTGAGCGCAGTTTTGAGCGCGCGAGAGCGCAGATGCGAGAAGCAATAACAACAACACAACAAACGCAGCGCAGCAGCAGCAGCAGCAGCAGCAGCAGCACAAAATTGTAAAAGAAAAATTTATGGAATTAAACCAAACATATGAATTATACATTCACATGTGTGTGTGTATGCAAGCATGTGTATGTGTGTGTGTGAGAGACGTCAAACAAAAGAAGAAAAATTTATATGCATGTGTGTGTGTGTGTGTGTATTTATAAGCAGACAAGCATAAGCAGCAATTGAAACGGTAAATTATTTTACAAAAGCAGCAAAGCAAAGAAAACTAAACACAAGAAACAGAAGAAATTCCACTTAAAGAAAATCAAATAAATTATGAGCAAATACATATAAAAGCATATGTATGTGTGTTTAAGATTCCATAGCTAAGAGCTGTATTCACCCTAAATTGTAGATTGTCTGTATGTATGTATGTATTAAGATATGAATATAGTATATATAATACATAAATATACATATGTATGTATGTATATACATACATATATGTTTATAATACCAAAAACTAACCGAGCTGAAACTGATCCAAAGAAACAAACAAACAGAAAAAAGAATTACGAAAAAAAATAAACAGACAAAAGCAAACGAAACGAAACGCTTTTTTTCTGCTGCTGCTGCTGTTGTTTTTATTTAATGTCAGTTACTGTGAATAGATAAAAAAAATGCTGTGAATTGTGGCTATTCTATGAAATATGTTAATACATCAGTATGGAGGCTATATAATAGATATATGTATAAATATGTATATACATACATACATACATTTATAGACTCTATACAGTTGTATTCGTTTAGTGCAAAGAACACCTAAATATGTATGTAGCTAGCTCAACTTGTTGAATCAGTTTATTTGTTCATTTGAACATTGCTGGCTCCACTTGCGAAATCGGTTCATTGCTAGCTCAACTCGTGGAATCAGTTATTTGTTCATTATTAACACAACTTGTGGAATCAGTTCATTTAACATTTGACCATTGCTACTTCTGCTTGCGGAATCAGTTCATTTGTTTCAAAACTGTATTAGTTCATTGGTTAGCATTTGCTAATTGGTACATTGGTTCATTGACTCATTTTTCGTATTAGTTTACGTAACTGGAACTTTATTTTGTTTTCTTCAATAAATAAAGTACTTTACTGAATCAATTCGAAAGCTAATAAATTCAATATGTGTTCATGAACTAGTTCACATGAACTAACAGTATAAATGTATATGTATTTAAAATATGCATTAACAAATCCATTTCATGATTCTGTTTAAATGAACTAATTCAATATACTAATTATACAAATCAATTTCTAGAATAATGAAAGATTATTGTTGTCTTTTATAAACATATTAAAAAAAGTGATCAATTGAACTAGTTCGCATTAGATAACCAAACACATTTACTACTTACATATTGATATTGATATTGATAGATCAATCAATCTGTTCTGTAACCTTCAAATTAAATTAGATGCTCTATCGAACTAGCTCTAACAAACCAACAAATTAAATACATTATTTCAAATGTATGTATGTATTTCATATCGTGCTCTAACTAAAGTGATGACATGTTTCAAAAATAGTTTTGTTTACTTATTTATTTTCTATGTATTACTTTGAGTTCTTGAAATTCTATAGATAAAATTCTTGAAAAACAAAATTTTTTGTGTTAATCAAGTTCTATTAGATTCTTTTGTGAAGCTTTAAAATGGTTCAAAACTTTAACCAACGTAAAAGTACATTCCAATTGGAATTTATATAAAAAGATATATGTGTAGACATAGCACATCTACTAGTTATCTTGAAAGATTTATTCAAGATTTATTCGGCGCAATCTGAGTTTGCTAATTATATTTTTATCTAATTTGAACTCGTATCAAGTAATTTCTTTTGAGCTACTAAAGCAGTTTCAATTCTTTGCCTCGCATTTCGTGATAAAAATAGCAACGGAAACTGAAAAACAAACCTTGAACTCGAATTAAATGAATTTATTTCAAAATTGAAGAAATTAGTGGAAACAGCAGCAGATTTTTCTACACGACAAGACGAGGGCTGCTTTTATTGTTCTAGTAGTATAGAGACAGTATGATTGCGAATATACGATATATCGTGTATATGATAAAATTTTCCTTACCTTAACATCAGCCAATGTTGTGATCTTTTGCCAAAGGGAATCCTCGCCGAATATGGAAATCATTTGCATGGAGTTTGTGTGCGATGTAATGCAAATGCGACATAATTGCGGATTGCATATCTCGGCGTCCATTTTGATGTTGTATCAAGAGATCAGGATGTGCGGTTGGAATTGTTGTCGAAGATGTAGCCCTGGTCGTGATGCGTCGTTGTGGAATGGAAATTGGAATTTGAATTGGATTTGGAAACGGAATCGTAGCTGAAGCTGGAATTGTTGTAGCTTAAACAGCAGTCAGAGTTGGAGATGGAGGCGTGAGAGCAGCCAGCCGGCCAGCCAGCCAGCTGCATGCCAGTTCTGCTCCTCTCTAGCGTCGCACTGCCGTTACTTATCCACGCTCACGCTGCGGCGACGACATTGGACTTCAAAGCGAAACAGCCGAAAAACGAATAACAACAAATTCAACAAGTGGCTACCGAATTCGCCGCACAGACAAAAGTGTGTGTGGCGAAATGTTTGCTGCGTTTTTCCTTTATTTATATATTTAGTGTTTTTTTTTATTTTAATATTATTTATTCTGCTTATATTGGAAAAGACGACGGAAAACGTTGACGCGGTTGAAGTGGCGGCGATTTGGGTACTGAAATGGAATACAGAGAACAAGAAACTATTTATTAATAATGAGAGAGTCGGAGAAATATAAAAAATACATACGAACAAAAAACAAACGTAGACGAAAACTAAATAAATAAAAGTAAGAAAAGAAACAACAAGAGAGGAAAAAATTGAAATTCAAGAAAATAAAAACACGCACACAATAAACACACACATATATACGCACACACACGCACACAGCAGGCAAACAAGCTATCCCCTGCCCCTTCTTTGTCACCTTCGAGCGCAACCCAATCTATATATGAGACTCGAGCATTTTTATTATTGTGTAGATTCCAAAAACAACAACAACAAACGGTAATACAATTCTTACTGTCGTAGATACTCACACACTTACATGCATACGAACTTGATACACACACACACACACACACGCACACAGTCGCAAACGAAAATAAAATTACACAAAAGAAAACAAGTCAAAACTAAAAAAAAAAAACTAAACTTAAAAACATGCACACACACACACACACACACACACACATACACACACATGCCCACAAAGATACACGCACACACAGACAGTGAGAAGCGAACAAATAAATAATAGCAAAAATCGTAACGAAACGAAATAATAAAATAAACTCTATGAGCCGGATGACTGCTACTAAAGGCACGAATGCAAGGGGGTGAGACGTTTGCGAGAGCTGAGGTGAGGTGAGGTTAACCGCCACAGAAACTACAACACGATAAATTCATGTTCTCTCGCGCTCACTTGCGCGCTCTCCTACTCTCTTAATCAAATCTATGTGTACGTGCGTGTGTGTGTGTGTGAGTGCACGCTTAAAAGGGTAAGCAAGGACGGCCAAAGGGAGAACTCAAGTCGGTGGTGGTGCTGCTGGTGGGAGTGTGAGTGTAAGACACAGTGAGATAGAAAAAGAGAAGAGAGAGAAAGAGAGAAGGAGTATTGGGCTAGGCTGCGGGTGTTGCTCCACAGAAAACTACGCAAAATGCCAAGGGCTTTGCATCCTGAGAAGTAAAGGCAAGCAAACATCTGCATATTACTTCAGAGCGAGTACAACTTTTTTATGTAGCTAAAGCGAAAAAGGAATCAGCTAAAAGTCGTTACATACATTCAAACATACACACTCACACAGACATACATACGTGTATGTAATTTATGCACGATAAACAAGAGATAAAGCGCTAAGCTTTACAAATACCACTGCAGTAAAGATATGCTGGAAATAAAATGAATATAAAAATACTTCAATGCAAATGCTAATTATACGGTAAATTCAGAGCTTGCGCAAATTGCACTAAAAAATGGCACAAAAAAAATATGCACACTTACAGCACCTAATCAAATGCACACAATGATCAACACTGAAATGCCAATGCGAATTTTCCAATGGAGCGAGGAATGTGAAATTCCTGAACCAGTTCCAGAATGACGACAACGCGCTTCTTGTGCTATTCAAATGATGGAAATCAAGCGAAACACAAAAAACAACAACAACAAAATGGCAAAGTAAAATTTCGATGGGATCGCACTGAGTAGTAGAAGACGACGACGATGAAGAAGAAGGAAATCATAAGATCTAGAAACTGCAGTCAGTCTCGCAAATAGAAACAAGAAATAAGAACATGCAATAACTACGCAAACGCTTACAGCGACTCTTACATACACATCTGCACATGCACACACACACACACAATCTCAAAGTTGTAGTTAGAGACACCAGCAACGACCTGGAAACTGGAACTGAAAACCCAACCAATTTGCAATACATATTTGTACGAGCGAGTACTCGTACGTACGTACAATTCCCGTCTCCATGTCTTGTTCTTCTTGCCTGAATATAACTATAATAATATCTGTATGTATGTATACACGTTAGTATACTAACAAACATAACTATGTACATGTACGGAATATCTGTATAATTTATAAAGACACTCACACACACACACACACGCATACATACAGACAAGCATTTATACATTCATAACTACATATGTGTGTATGATTTTATATGCGCTGCCCGCATATGGAACGTTCAATCGGTAACCTCCCCTTCCTCCCTACCCCTCTTCCACTTGCTGCCCCGCACCTTATTCCAGCCATTAGCATTCATTGTGTTGTCCAAGAGTCGACTCTGCAAGCTCTTTTGTTTAGAGTTTAAAATAAAATTAAATAAATTGAAACCATAGTAAAGAAAAACAGCAATGGCAACAGTAATGAATACAACGTTAACGTCAACAACATCAACGTCAACGCCAACGTCGATGCCGATGCCGATGCTGACGCCGACATCGACGTCGACGTCGACGTCCCCGTTAATGTTAAAGTCGCTCGCGGTTTACATATGAGGAAATATTACATTTTATAACAAACATACAAAATGCATGAGCATGGATAATGAAAGAGTAAGAGCGGCAGCAGAGCAGAGCAGCAGCTATTGCCGGCATACACTAAGAGCTAAAGAGCGCATAAACACTCACACATACATACATACAAATATACACAACTGAAGAGAGAGACGAAAGCCTGACTGCTACTAAATAGTAATGGCAGAAAAGTCAAGAAACTCAACATTTGTCTCTTCTTCTTGTTGTTGTTGCTATTTTCTGTTCCTGTTGGCCCATTCGTTGCTTTAGTTATTTTTTTCAGTGTGCTAAAGTCGTAGTCCAAGTCTCAGCCAAAGTGCCCAACGGACAACTATTAAAGAAAAACAACAACAACAACAACAACAACAAAGAAACGATGAAAAACAAATACACGCTACTTACACTTACTAGCCATACATAACTACAATACATATGCATCTCTCCATATCTCTCGCTCTATCTTTCTCTCTCGCTCTCAGTCTCTCTCTCCCGCTCTGCCTTGCTTACTCGCTGTGTAGCGCACGTACATTTAATACTTAACTCAACCTCTTGTGTCGTCGCCATCGTCGTAGTTGGTCTGTGTGCTTTAACTTTTTTTTTTTTTTTTTTTTTTTTTTTTTTTTTTTTTTTTTTTTTTT